TTTTGGTTAGCGGTTGTTTTGCATTCATATTTGGGTGGTAAGAGCAACGATCGTGGGTTTCTCTGCCATGCTCTTTCCCCGCAGGAGCTCTAGGTGAGCGTGGCACTCTCCTTCTATGTTTAATGGTTGTTAATGTTTTTGTTGTTCTTTCTATTTGTCACATGTTTAATTTGAATTGTATGTAAATAAAGGTTAGGTGTATTTTCTCTGCTTTTGTTTTATATAATTAAACCATACATCCCCTCTACAAAGTTAGTAGCCAGTGCCTTCCGGTCAATAAAAAAATAAATACACACAACGTAGGTATTCCTTATGACGATCACATATTTTTGGCCACAACTACGTTTACTTATTTTTTGTCGAACCTAGGGTTGTTATACTACAGTCTTGACCTTTAGAAACACGTATCGCAAGCTGAAAACTGATTTTTTTAACCTTTTCTTTAGTAAATCTCATACCCCACCGCTGGAGCAGCTAGTGTGACCTCAACCAACGGGACGCGTTAGTCGCAGCACATGCACACTTGGCGAATAGATTCTGCTTAAATTAAGACTGTTCACGATATAATGTTGTTGCTATTTTGTTTTCTTTAAATTCATTTAATATATCTAGTACCGACTGAAGCGGTTGAATAAGTAATAAGTACTTTGTTTAGAACTTTATAACTTTTTAATATTACCTGTTTCAATTTTCCAAAATGCGTTCCTATCCACTTTACGTAGCGACAGTAATACACATATAGTTCAGTTAAACCAAGTCAGTGTCAGAGGTCATTGACACTGAGGTTCACAAGTTAAATAAATACACCTTAAAAAATAGTACACCTAATTGTTTGTAATAACAACTTAATTTTGTTAGTTAATATTTAATAAATCTTTAAAAAAAGTATTTGGAACAGGAAACAATTGGATTGTTTTTTAATGATCGGCCCTTCGTCCACATTGATGTACAAAAAAAAATATGGTGACTTTAAAATAAATAATTAACAGTAACAGTTGTTTTAAAAACGTAACAACTGACAACGCTGATAGTGCACTGATAAAACTTACCATGCTAATAATGCTTTCCGAATATAAATATGCCGCCCCCATTCGCACACAAACTTTCAACTACTGGACTAACCATTTGACAACGATTTCTTATCCACACATAATATAAATTAATAACACTGGAAATTTTTAATGCTAAATCAATGGTAAACACATCTTTCGCGGGCGCATTAATAAATTTATTGCTCTAGAAAACAGTTAACTTACAGATATGAAACAAGAGTACTGCTTTCTTTACTTAAATTGTCCAGACAATTTTAATTTTAATTTTAATTTAAGATATTTCTTCNAATTGTTATTAGTAAATAACGTACAAATTAATTTAAAAATTGACACTGGAAGTCAAGTAAATATACTTAATCACAGTGATTTTAAGAAACTTGGAATTTCCGAATCTGAACTTCTGCAAACAAAAAGCACTTTGTCGTCCTACTCGGGGCATAAAATAGACATTCGAGGAAAAATATCGATACATTGTTCCATCAACGAACATACATCAAACCTGTTATTTTATATTTTACAACCGATTCTGCTTGTTCAATTTTGGGAAATCAAGCTGCAAGTGAACTGCAAATAATTGATGCAAATAAAATACAAAAAGGACGTAACAAAACTATATATAATGTGGAAAACCATCTATCAGTTCCGGAAATACTGAATAAACATAAAAGAGTATTCAAGGGTATAGGTAAAGTGAATAAAACATATAAAATAACACTGAGGCAGGATGCTGTACCACATATAAGCGCTGCAAGGAAAATTCCTTTAGCATTAAAAGATCAAGTGAAGAAAAAACTTGATGAAATGGTCTCGGAAAAAATAATAGTTCCAGTGACTGAACCAACAGACTGGGTCCATCCGTTAGTAATAGCACCCAAATCAAATGGAGATATTCGGCTTTGTATGGATCCCAGGAGTTTAAACGTGTACATAAAACGTTTTAAATAAATTTTCAAATTCCCACAATAGACTGTCTTTTTAGTGAATTACGTGGAGCAAGATATTTTACACTACTAGATGCATCACAAGCGTTTTTACAAATACCCCTGGATTATGAAAGTTCAAAACTGTGTACAGTTGCAACAAGTTGGGGCAGATTTCGTTATTTAAGGCTACCTTTTGGCATCTCGTCAGCTCCGGAAATATTTCAAAGATTTATTTATGATGCTTTGGAAGGGTTGCTTGGTGTTATTGCATATATAGACGATATTCTTGTGTTCGGTAAAACTGTTGAAGAACATAATTCGAATTTGGACAAAGTTCTTTCGAGAATCGCAAAAAGTGGACTTACGTTGAACTTACAAAAATCAAAACTTTGCGTGAAGAGTGTTAAATTTCTCGGNATTTCTTTGAAATAAGAACAGTTACTACCAGTATCAACTTTGCAAGCAAGTTATAGTACCTAAATAAGGACAAAGTGAAAATGAATACATTTTGTTGAATAAATTGAGATTATTATTTTTTTAATTAAATAACATGGAAAGAAATTGTAATCGTAATTTACCAGTTCACGTATCACTCTTTGTAAAAACGTATTGGAGTAAATATGTAAACAAATAACTTAACCTCGATATTTTTGTTGGTACTTCTGAACTCTGAAGAAATTCACGAAAATTAGAACATTAGAATTTGTGAAGAATTTTATTATATTAAGTTATTTGACAGCAGATTTGGTACATTTACACTTGTTCAATTTCCTCACGAAGCGACTTCATGAATTGATGCTTGAATAAATTCCCAATGTAAAACAGGTATTAGGGAAATGTTTCATCAATGTAATTATTTTATAGACATTGCTCGGACAAGACATTTTGATTTCTTTAGATGTAACGACCCTCATTAACTCGTAATATTTACTGACGATTTGATAATTTCGCTATTTAATTTTCCTTTTTAAAAAATACTACAATTTTTTTTGTGTGTTTATTTAGATGGTGTACCTGTACGTGTCCATTAATTTTATAATTTCATAGAATAAATAAATGCAGAAATTATGTCTAAATGTTTAAATAAAATATCTTATATTTTATGTCCTTGACAAAACCATAAAATAGGTATATGAAAACGATGGCGCCGAATATAAAATGCTAATTTATTATTAACCATAATAGTTAATAGTCTCTGGTTTCAGCAGTGTGCTCTCTCTGTGAGACAGATAAACCTGCTAAAGTTACACCGTTTTTGGTCGTGAAAGTTCTTCACGTATTATTGAAATCCATTACAAGTAGGTCCTTGCTTATCTCTCGTGATATCTTGCACGTAATGTTGGGAACATCTGTTGTTGCTATTAATAATATAAATATTGTAATCCTATAAAATACTCCTTGGTAGTCTTAATACGGAGTACTATTATATTGGAAGAGAGTTATCTAAAAGAACATTTCAGTTTTGAAAGTTAATTTAGTCAGTAGTTTACTAATTACGCCAAATATAGAATATAATGTGTTTGGATTTAAAAAGTGGGTTAAGTAATCTGCAGATTTTTTATCGAATTTTACTAAATGTTTGTTACTCAACCAGTCTGATGTAAATGTATTCCATAATAATCAACTGTGAATCATATACATTTTTCAATTGTTAATGTTATCCCCTCGGTTATCCCTTCAAATCAAGGATAGTATACAATCTATGTATGTACTATACGTGAGTGGCTATATATTTTTACTTTATTACCTACTTGTGGCAATTTCTTATATACAGTGTCCCCCTAAAGTCGTGCACAAATTCATTATTAGGTAAACAAAAGAAATTATTAAAAATTGCCGAAACAGGTCGATTTTTGAATTTAATTTACTATTTTTTCAAATAATTTAATATACAGGGTGACCTATGTTCGAGTAATAGCGTCATCACAATTTTTTTTAAATGGAATACCCCACTTTTTTTCCAATTTTCGGATTGCCCTAACTGAGCTGATTCCAAAAATATACCACAAGTTGCTTCTAATTGTTACAGGGAGGACAACAATACCCAAATTATTTACAAATACTAAATTTATTTACAAATAAATAAACGTACTAAAAATTGAATCAAATCACCAGAAACACCTAAATTAAATGTTCAAATTGTTGACCATTTACTGCCAAACAATGGGCCAGACGGGAAGTAAATTCTTGCTGTACATTCCCAATGACTTCAGGCGGGATCGCTCGAACTTCTTGCCGAATTCGTTCCTTCAGATCGTTAATACTGTTTGGTTTATTGACGTATATTTTGCTTTTTACATAACCCCAAAGAAAAAAGTCGAGCGGTGTTAAATCTGGTGATCTGGCGGGCCATTCCTTAGGTCCTCTTCTGCCAATCCACCGATGAGGAAACACGTCATCTAAATAGCGGCGAACAGCGCTGGCATAGTGCGGTGGTGCACCATCTTGCTGAAACCAAATGGTTTCATTGGGCAAATCTGGATCTTCTTCATTTGGAAATAGAACACTCAAGGAAGGAACTAAATGGAACTGAAGAAATTCCAAATATCTTGCACCATCTAAATTTCCTTCAAAGAAATACGGCCCCAAAATTCGATTACCAACAATTCCGGCCCAAACATTGACCTTTTGGGGATGCTGAGTGTGTGCTTCCATCATCCAATGTGGATTGCGATCTGACCAGTACCGACAATTCTGTTTATTGACGGTGCCATTCAAATAAAAAGACGCCTCGTCGGAGAAAATTATGCGTTTCACAAAATCCGGATCTGCCTGACATTCTTCCATCATCATTTCGCAAAATTCTGTGCGTCTGTCGAAATCATCGTCACATAATTCTTGTACTAAGTGGACTTTGTAGGGATGATACTTGTTTCTGTGAAGAAGTCTACTCAATGTACTTTCACTCATTCCTAAATTATCTGCTACGACTCTCAGACTGGATTGCGGGTTTTCATGAATGGTCAAAAGGGCTTGTAACTGCACTTCTTCATCTACAGTCGGTCGGCCAGATCTGGGCATATCTTTAACATGACCATGATTTCGAAACTTTGCTTCAGTTCGGCTAACCGTGGATCGATTTATTGGTGGACGATTGGGATGAATTTCATTAAACAAAACACAAACTTCCTCATGAGTTCGAATTCTATCACCATATCCGATCATCATAAGAATTTCAATCCGTTCGGTTTCACTTAGAATCATGTTTTTTAATTAATTCAAAAATACTCAATATTTTAAGGAAGAATCATTCAAAATGGATTTACTTGTACAATCTTAACAAACTATTTAAAAATGGTTGCCTGCAAGAAATACACGAGCACGTTCTATCAGGCAAATAAAATTAAAAAAGCATCAAAGAAATTATAGCAAAAAATAATGACATTTTAAAATGATATGTGATTTGATTCAATTTTTAGTACGTTTATTTATTTGTAAACAAATTTAGTATTTGTTAAGTAATTTGGGTATTGTTGTCCTCCCTGTAACAATTAGAAGCAACTTGTGGTATATTTTTGGAGTCAGCTCAGTTAGGGCAATCCGAAAATTGGAAAAAAAGTGAGTGTTCCATTTAAAAAAATTGTGATGACGTCATTACTCGAACATAGGTCACCCTGTATATTAAATTATTATTTGAAAAAATAGTAAATTAAATTCAAAAATCGACCTGTTTCGGGAATTTTTAATAATTTCTTTTGTTTAGCAAATAATGAATTTGTGCGCGACTTTAGGGGGACACTGTATAATTATTATATACCTATTTGTGCTTTATACAGGGTGTTTCTTAAGTAGAGGTAAAAAATCCAGAGGCGTATTCTGTGGCCAATAAGGGTTTTTTTGTTATACATATAAATGTGACGTCTTAGGACAGCCATTGTCCAGCTACAGCGTGTCAAAAATTAAAAATAATAACAGTTTTTAATTTTTAATTTCTAAACCGCTTGAGATAATTTAACCAAATTCAGTGTGCATATTTAGTATGACAGTAGGTATGAGACAAAAAATTAACAGCTTTAGAAACTTACCAGTGGCGGAGTTGTGGCTATTATCGATCATTATTATTTGCCAAAAAAAATGTATCACCCTGTATAATATTACAAATAAAATAGGCCATCATATGCGCAATTGTATTATCTTCACTTTTTATTTGTTTACGCTTTTTTGTTTTCCAAACTTATTAACAATAAATTTGATTTATTTGATCAAGTGCATTTTTACGATACTCATTACTTTACTTAAAATAATAACAAAATAATTGATTAGCAACAGAATTACTTTACTATGATTTATTTATAACATGTTGGAAATGGCCACTTTCAGCCAAAATGCAAAAATTCCAGGAGTAGCTCTTATTTGTTGACGTAAGTGCTCCTCAATGTGAACCTTGAAAACTAATGTATCGAGATGTCTCCAAACAAAAAAATCAATGGGGTTCATATCAGGTGATCTGGGTGGCCGGGGTCGACCTGGTTTTTGAGTGCCTCGTCCAATCACGTTAATACCGAATCTTTCATTAAAAATTCACGAGCAGTCAAACTAAAATGTGGGGGAACCCTGTCATGCATAAACCACATTCTTTCGCTTAGCGCATAGGAAACATCGTCAAGTAGTTCAGGTAAAACGTTTTCAAAAAAATGTCTGTAGGAGGCACCGGTTAAAGGTCTTGGTAAAAAGTAAAGCCCAACAAGAAAATTTCTAATAATACCCACTCATACATTCAAAGAAAACTGATGTTCAAATCGTAATTCCATTATGGCATAAGGGTTTTCATCAGACCAAACATGTTTATTGTGGAAGTTCATTATAGCATCTCTGGAAAAGTCAACATTTTGTTCAATTTTTTGCAAAATCCAGTGGCAAAATTGTAAGCGAGCAAAATAGCTTTGCGGCAGTAAGGCTTGAACCCTTTGTACGTGATACGGGTATAACTGTTGATGCTTCAGAACGGACCAAACTAATTTATGATTCGCATTAAGATTTGCAGCGATCTTCCTAATACTAGTATTTGGGTTCTCTTCAATT